TCGTGTCCCCTCTCCAGTTCCCTCCATGCAGCCAGGAGCTGCCCTTGGCCGTGGCCTGGGTCCCCTGGGGTGTGTGGCTTCCTGCTCCTCCTCCCAGGTGCGGGGCAGCTTTTTGTTGCTGTGACAAAATGGGATGACTAATTTGAGAAATCTTGCCCTTGAGTTTCAGAGGTTTCAGCCCAGCACCACTCATATCTGTCATCTGAGTCAGGGTAGGTGGATCTCAGGGGTCAGGACGCCAAAGCAGAAGAGGAAGAGCTGGCTGGGGCCTACTTCTTCCTCTAGCTGTGCTTCCCTGGTCTCGGAACTTAACCGAAGCTCTAATCCGTTTCGGGACCGGGTAAACTCCTATCCATCCTTTGGGGGCCAGTTCCAGAGCTGCCTCTCCTGTGACCCTGTCCTCCCAGCATCCACCTCAACCTGGGAACAGGTGCAACTGGAGTCAGCCTGGGCATGCCCAAGGTGGGGCTCCATGCACGTGCTGTGTCTGTGCAGGTGGCACTTGCCTCCCTCAGGTTCTTCCTCTGTTGGTCCCTTCAGCTCCTACCTTCCCTCCCTCAGGGCTTCTGGAGCTGCTGTGCTGACCACTCCCCAGGTTTGGGCAGAGCTTGGTCCTCCAGGCACAAGCATCCTCTCACCTTGCCCCTTTCCTGCTTTACCACAAAGGATGCCTCCTCCAGGAGCCCTCAGCAAGGTAGCTTCCAGGGCCACCTTCCTGGGTCAGGTGACACATCAGGAGCTAAGTGCCTTCTCTTGCACCAACCCCCTGCTGCCCTCTGCTAGCTGGGCAGCAGCCTCTGGTGCCCTTCAAGGCCTTGACCTACCAGGAAGGCGGGCTAGCCCTGGGCACGGCTGCTGTATGCTTCGGGGACAGGGTCTGCCCACAACTCTCCAGCGGACTCACCATCTAGTGTGGCTGCAGATTGGTCTGATGGTCACCACCTCTGGGACAGCTGGGGCCTCAGAAAAGCAGCCTCTGCAACTACTTTGCTACCTGTACGTGTTCAGCAGAGGCGTGGCCACTGAGGTGTGGTTCACTGCCCGGTGCCAGAGGAAGGGACCCACATGCCCTGGATACACTCTGCCCTCACCCTGTGGAGTGAACCCTCCCAGGCCAGCTCAGGCTTACCAAGCTACCAGGACATGCCAGGATGGCAACTCCCTCGGCCACAATGGAGTTCCCAGCAGCCCGACTTAAAGATCAAGTCAGCCCATAGAGCTGCTCCTCTTGGGGGGGG